TTTATGCGAGATTTGTCGAGATAGTTTTGTGTTTTTGTTTGTGAAGATTTACAGTCTTGGAATAGAAGTAACATTTTGGTCCTTCGGAAACCGGATATTCGCATTGGTGTAATAATTGGACTCATCGGAACCAGTATTGTGGAATTTGCAAGGGACTCGCTCGAACTTGGAAACATTTGGCGGGAAGTCCATCGAGAACTGAAGCTGGAGGAATTATGGATGGAAAAATAGAAGAGTTAAAGAAAGAAAAAAGAACCCTCAAGACAAGTATTACGAAGCTTCTGAACGAATTAGCTGCGGAATTATCGACGAAAACGCCAAACAAGGAAAATGTCACGGCAAAACTGCAGGACATCGACAAGCGACGGGATGAATTGTTGGAGCTGTTGGACTCGCTTCAAACCTTGTACGGAGATAATAAGCATGCATCGCTGGCAGCTTCAACAGGTGATGAAGCGGATAAAATGATAGATCGTGTGGATAACGAGACAAAGGAAGCTCGGCTTTTCTTATCGCAAAGTAACAGCAAGGAAAGCGAAGGAAATAACACAAGCCAGCTGGGCACATTTGAAAGCGCACATGGCAAAGATGGTCACGTGGTCGACGCAAACAAACAGCTCGAGCGGATTCGAATCCCAAAGTTTTCGGGCGACAAGAAAGAATATCAGTCGTGGTGGGCAGCGTTTTCCAGTTGTGTGGATGAAACAAATTTGTCGGCTCAGTTTAAAATGTTGCGGCTCGAAAGTTGTTTAGTAGGAGAGGCGGCCGAAACGGTGAAAGGGCTTGGTTACTCGGATCATGCCTATGAAGCAGCTAAGGCAAGGTTGAATCGAAAGTATGGGGGAAACAGGCGACAGGTTCAAGCCCATATCGATGAGCTACGTAAGATGAGGCCAATAAACGCTGATAATCCGAGAGAGCTAGAAAGATTTGCCGACATTGTGGAGAGGACTGTGGTTTCTTTAAAGGAAAATAAGAAGTTTGCTGACCTGGAAGGAGGAACATTGTACGCAATTGTGCTGGAAAAACTTCCTCAAGCTCTACTTAGCCAGTACTATCGATGGATTAAAGAAAAGGGAAGCTTGGAGTCTCTTGAAGAGCTGCGTCGCTGGGTTGCTGAGGAAGCTGAGTACCAGGTACAAGCATCAGAAATTAAGCATGGTTTGTCCAGTGTTGGAAGTGTACGAGGAAAGAGCTCAACTAAGTCTTATTTCGGGACCACAGAAGAGAAACGTGATCGTCCCTGTAAAGTGTGCAACCAAAAACACCCAATTTGGAAATGTGATATGTTCAAAGGAATGGAACATAGAAAGAAGTGGGAGACGGCGAAGAAGCTTGGACTGTGTTACCGTTGCTTGGGGAAAGGGCACCTTGGTGACTCATGTACTTGGAACAGAGAGTGTGGAATTGACGGATGCAAGGACAGACACCATCGGTTACTTCACGAGGAGAAAGTAGCTTCTGGGACCATGGAGGGGAAGGCTGACACACCCGTGACAGAGGAAAACAAGTCCAGTACGTATGAAACAGTGATAGAACATGTACAGAGGAGTATTGCCTTGCGTACTGTTCCTGTCATTCTGAAACATGGGGAGAGACGCTTGCAAGTTAATTGTTTCTTGGACGAAGGCAGTGATACGTCGTATGTTAATGAGGATGTGGTAGAGGAACTGGGGTTGTATGGTAGGAAGGAAAAAGTAATTATCAATGTTGCAAATGGACAGAAGGTCAATTTAATGTCAGCAACCATGGAGATTGGCTTGGAGAGTCTGGATGGTCGGGTGGACACAGTCATTGTAGCGAAAACATCTAATAACATCTGTGGTGGGATGAAACCCACCAACTGGCTGCAAATCAAAGACCAGTGGAAACATTTGAGAGACATTCCTTTTCCTAAGCTTGGAAAAAGGAGTAAAATTGACGTGCTTATTGGTTCAGATTATTACAACCTGCTGTTTCCTATGAAAGAGGTTCGTGGAGGCGACAATGAACCTAGTGCCAGACTGTGTCCACTAGGGTGGACAGCAATTGGTACCATTGGTACATCTGAGGGACTTGGAACAAGTAACACTGGGTACCTGAACACCTATCGCATAAGCCAGTCAGAGTGTAGTGATGGAGATCTGAATTATCTGCTGAAACAATTTTGGAGCCTTGAGGCTATTGGGATCACACCGCAGGTGGAGCAACCACTTTCCCCTGAAGAGAAACTAGCCTTTGATAAAGTGAACGAATCAATCAGGTTTGATGGTGAAAGATATGAAGTTGCGGTGCCTTGGAAACATGAAAGACCAGAATTACCGCCAAACCGACAGATGGCAGAGAAACGCCTTCACACAGTTGAGAAGAAGTTAATGCAAGATGAGAAGCTGGCACAGGCTTACCAATCAGTGGTTGATGACTACTTAAGTAAAGGATATATCCGAGAAGTCCCAGAGGATGAGCCAAAACCACCATCAGAATGGTTTCTTCCACATTTCCCTGTGGTAAGGCCAGAGAAGGCCACAACCAAAGTTCGGGTTGTTTTCGATGGCTCAGCTCAGCAAAATGGAAAGAGTTTGAACAGTGAATCACTACCGGGTCCTAAGTTGCAAAGTGACATTGTGAACGTTTTAGTTAAGTTTAGAAAAGAGCCAGTTGCATTGGCTGGTGATGTGAGCCAAATGTATCACCAGATACTTCTTAGACCAGAAGACAGGGCTCTGCACAGATTCTTATACAGGAACTTGGACAGTGGGGGGTACACCGAAGGTTTATGAGTTTAAGAGGTTTATTTTTGGGGGTGTTACTGCCCATTTTGTGTCCAGTTTGCTTGGCAACATCATGCCAGACTTCACAAGGAGACTTACCCATTGGGAGCTAATGCAGTTCTAGAACACTGTTACATGGATGATCTGATGCCATCTGCACCTACAGTGGATGATGCGAAGGACATAAGAAAGCAGCTAACCGAACTAGGGGACTTGGCTGGTTTTCACATCCGCAAATGGATCTCTAATGAACCGGATGTAATTGCTGACATTGTGGAAGAAGATCTTGCTTCTGAGATAGACTTGGAGAAGAGAGAATTGCCAACAACCAAGACCCTGGGTGTCCTGTGGGCCCGCCACAGACGACAAATTTTCCTTTAGACACTCATTACAGTTGGATGGATTTGAATTCACCAAGAGGAATGTTTTGAGGCGAACAGCATCAGTTTACGACCCATTAGGCTTCTTATCACCTTATGTAATCAGGTCCAAGTTGTTGATACAAAAGGCTTGGTTGGAGGCACGGGATTGGGATGAACTGTTGCCAACACATCATCAGCGAGAATGGACAAAGTGGTTTCGAGAATTGAAAGACCTTGAACTTGTAAAAATCCCAAGGTGTTTGAAAGACCCAAGTCCTAAGGTGGAAGAACTGAGCATTCATACATTCAGTGACGCCTCAGAGAACGCATACACAGCTGTAGTTTACGCGCGTCATGTGTATGAGGGTGGCAACATTACTGCTCGAATGATTATGTCGAAGTCTAGGCTTGCACCATTGAAAGCAGTGAGCATCCCCAGATTAGAGCTTTTGGGTGCTCTAGTCGGATTACGATTAACAAGACAAGTTTGCTCTGCACTCAAGATACCTACAAATGGAGTGACATACTGGGTGGACAGTATGAATGTGGGGGTACTGGATCCAAGGTCAAAGTAGAGAGTATAAGCCGTTCATAGCCCATCGTGTTGGAGAAATTCATGAGTTCTCTGCTCCTAATCAGTGGCGCTATGTTCCTACGGATTTAAATCCCGCCGACCTTGGAACAAGAGGCCTGACAGTGGAAGAGTTAGCAAGTGCAGATTTATGGTGGAATGGGCCCGAATTTCTGAAAAAGTCAAGACAAGACTGGCCAGAGTGCAAGTTTGACAAGCCAACGTCAACAGAGAACCTTGAACTTAAAGGAACAAAAGAATCAGGAACAAAGGATGCTACCAGTTACCAAATAATTGAAGAAGGTGAAGAAACGGCTAGTGTCAAAGAGGTGTGGCGATTGGACCCCTCAAGATACTCGAAATGGTATCGAGTCAAAACAAAAGGAGAACTGGAAATTGGGTTGTCTTTAGTTCGTGTGACAGCGTGGGTGCGCCGATTTACAGACAATTGTAGGAAACCAGCTGAGCAAAGAGAGAAGGGTGAACTGAAGCCATTGGAGCTTCAAAACGCTGAGGAATTTATCATTCGGGAGGTTCAGTCTAAGGTGTACTCAGCGGAGATAGAGCCATTGAGAAGGAATAAGGAAATCCTAAGAGGAAGTACATTGGCACCGTTTAATCCAGTATTAGTTAATGGCATTTTGAGGTCCAACACCAGACTACGGTATGCGGACGATCTCCCATATGATGTTAAGTGTCCAATCATACTGCCTAAGAGGAATCATGTCACAGGACTGATCATTAAGTACTACCATGAATCAGAGGGTCATCAAATGGGGCTTAACTATACGATTAATCATGTGCGGGAGAAATACTTAGTGGTCCATGTTCGTGAACAAGTGAAACGAGTCATGAGAGAATGTTTTGAGTGTGCGAGACGATTTCGATCAAGGCCAGCTCACCAGCAAATGGCGCCGTTACCGAAGATTAGACTGCAGCAATCCTCCAGACCTTTCGAGAGCTGTGCAGTAGACTTTGGAGGACCTTTCTTAACTAAGCAAGGCCGTGGAAGAGTGCGAGCTAAGCGCTATTTGTGTTTGTTTCTCTGTTTGAACACCCATTGTTGCCACTTAGAGATGGCGTCGTCTTTGGACACTGATGCATTTCTTAACGCCTTTGTCAGAATGACTGCGCGGAGGGGATGGCCGCAGCAAATGTTAAGTGACAATGGAACGAACTTTGTAAGCGCATCGAAGGAACTGCGAGACCTAGTCTCTGCTATAGACCAAGACAAACTACAACGGATGACCTCCAATAAAGGAGTGAGTTGGAAATGGAATCCACCTGCAGCGCCACATTTTGGTGGAGTCTTTGAATCTATGATCAAGGCAGCAAAGCGAGCTATTTTTGCTGTACTCGGTGATGCAGAAGTTAATGATGAGGAGTTGGAGACAATCTTCATTGGCGTAGAAAGTCTGATGAATTCGAGACCTTTAACAGCTGTGAGTGACGACCCTAACGACGACCGCGTCTTGACTCCAAATCACTTTCTGATCGGGCAGATAGGTGGTGATTTTGTACCAGAGAGTGTCGACACCGAGCCATTTAATCCCAGAAAACGCTGGAGAAGACTACAAGAGCTCACAAGACATGTGTGGAACCGATGGATGAAAGAATACTTGCCGCAGATTGGATCAAGACAGAAGTGGTACTTTCGTAACGACAATTTGCGGGTTGGAGACGTTGTCGTTGTTATCGATCCCGGAACAGTGAGGAGACAGTGGAATGTTGGGCGTATCGAGCAGACGTACCCTGGCCCTGATGGCCTTGTGTGAGTGGTGGACGTACGGGTTAATGGCAAGACCCTTAAGCGACCAATAACTAGAATCTCCCCGCTGGAGATTCGGGACACCGAACTGTAATCAGATTAATGTGTAACAAGAACACTTCGGAGAACTATGATCTAGAGCTAAAGATGTATTTCAGTTAGAATGTATTCGAATTTCAGCTTCCCTGTAATTCGGGAGGGGAAGAAATGTTAGTGACATTTCAAGTTGTGTTACATCATGTACGGCTTGACAATTATTACGTGTTTCGGTCATGTGACGTTGTTGTTGAACTCGGACTCTAGAACGGAATTTGACTCGAGACTTGTCGAGATTTTTATGCGAGATTTGTCGAGATAGTTTTGTGTTTTTGTTTGTGAAGATTTACAGTCTTGGAATAGAAGTAACAATCCTTATACGGGATTGATTTATGCACTGAATTATGTACTTATTAAAAACTCAATCGAACTCATAGTTATCTATTCTTTACCCACAGCTATTAGAGTCACCCACTTTAAAAATTAATACCCCATTCCCATCTCAATAAAACAACTTACACTTTACATGGTTGAACGATAATTACTACATTCGTTTCATCGTTTTATGGACAAATGTATCTTCCTTTCTGAGATCTATAACTAGATGTTACAGAAAGAAGACATTAGGATTAATGTATTTTGGCAAGAAAGTGTAATGAACCAATCGGGATAAAATCTTGCGGCAAAACACAGAGAATACAACGAGCTCGTTCAGTGCTTCATTTTGGTGGGGAAGTGAACCATTTCGGAATGTAAATCCGTCAACTTCTATGGAGTAGTTGTTAAGTTTAGAGATCGAGAGGGCATTAAAAGGCGAACAGTAAATTGGGTGAAATATATCGTATCCGGCCAATAAAACACAAAGCCAGACTCGACTTTTGTGAAATAAGACTATCAAATAGTTGCTTTCGTAACAGTTACTTCAGCAGGCAAACAGTAAACCAGCAACTTTATCACATTTAGCTATACTGCATGACAGTAATCGATCTTTTATATAGATTGTACTATTCCATACTATACACAACTGGTGAACTAAAAAGGCCACAGTCCATATGGTCGAATATGCAAAAAGGGAATGGAAGCCATAGCGGTGAATGATATGACGCGATGAGACAAATGTAGAAGCTCTACTCCTTGTACTAAATATCACAACTTAAAATTTACAGATAAAATTGAAACTTCACGTTAATACTCTTTTTTAACGATTATATGTATAAAAAAGGCAAAAACAAACCTTGGATAACTCAAATGTTGGCAATACAGTAGTTAAATTCCGAGGGCGTCGACGAGATCATAGTTAGTAGAGGGGGACTGGTTATGAAACCCGGCAAACTTCAGAGAAACAACTCTTTGTTATGGTTTTTGCGTCGTCACGTGATCACGACCCTGCACACAGATAAACAAAATGGCGTCTCCACTGTAATCAAGCCGTGAGACGTGCTCTATTTACTAGTTTTCTGCTACTTATGTCTGTCCTTTTAATATGTAAAGATAACAAATGTAAAGAAGAATTATGCCTGGAGAGAATTGTGCAGTATTTGGCTGTGGATCTTGTCGAAGGACAAAAGGAATTGGCATTTGGAAGTTGCCATTGGCGAAGGACGAAGCGCATGAAAAATGGAGGGAAGAGTGGCTCGGAGAGATCAAGAAGACAAGGGAAATGGACTGGAATTTCAGAGAACTAATAAAGTATGACCGAGTCTACACATGTGAGAAACATTTTGCGCCTGAAGATATCGAAATATGTAAGTATGATACGTATAAGTCGTTCGATTTTTGCTTTTTCACTACACTGCAGTGGACGTGCACTCTGATTTTGGTTTGCTTGAACTTAAAGGGTCGTGACTAGAATGGATACTCCAAAATCAGGTATCCGCTCGGAGACTGGAACTGAATAAAATTATTTTTCGGCAAATCGCTCCGACTCTTTACGACCTTGTTGTGTTGAAAGACTAAGTATACAAAGACTGAAAAGGCTTACTCTAAAATATGGATCAAAGCCTACATAGAGGT